TGGATTCCAATGGTATTTGTATCCTAATCTCAATCGAGCTATGGTGGATTCTCTTGCCCTGTCGCCACCCTTTCTACCGTAAATATAGACATTTCAATTTACTCTGACTGTCTCATTTCATCTCTATTATTCCTCTTTATCCATGTCTTTATTTTTCCTCTTATTTGCGTAGATGGAGTGATAGCAACATCAGTGTCATATTTTTTGTGCTGTTTCTTGGGCTAGCTTATCTGTTTTTTTTTTTTTTCCGCTTATTGCGATATGTTATTATGTGAGAGAGAGAGAGAGAGAGAGAGAGAGAGAGAGAGAGAGAGTAGAGAGAGATGAGAGAGCGTGTTGTGTGTGTATGTGTGTGTGTGTGTGTGTGTGTATGTGTGTGTGTGTGTGTGTAGAGAGGCCTAGGGCGAGGTAATTGAGAGAGCCCTAGGCCCTGAGCAGACAGGAGAATTAAACTCGTTGCAGAGAAGACGATGAAGTGTGTGTATTTTTCGGCGGAAAATGCGGTATATAAACAAACAGGGCAAAGTAACACTGCTGGGTCGTTTGCCGTTGAGTGCTGATTGGCCGACGGCTGCATCCTTATCTTCCGCGTCGCGGCGAATCAGCGCCGCGGACCTCGCCACGCTTGCCTGCCGGCTGACTCGGCGTAAGGCGATTATGCGAGCGAGGTGGCCGCGAGAGTGGCAATTAAGCGCCGGTGCTGAGTGAGGCAATTAAGCGCCGGTGCTGAGTGAGGCAATTAAGCGCCGGTGCTGAGTGAGGCAATTAAGCGCCGGTGCTGAGGTGATTGTGGCTTCTGCCACGATGCATCCCCCCTGACGAGGGAGAAAGGACTACAGATCGAGGATCCTGCGAGGGCGAGACTGGCGTCCGGATCTCGTGTAGGTGGCGTCATCGTGGTGAAAAGGCGAACTCGGCCATCCTGCTGGGGTGCAGGTGGGGTGATGAGAGCGACGGATAGGTCTCCTGGTGGTGAACTGCCGGGCTCCCTGGCGGAGGTCCTCTCGCTGTGTCGCTCGGGCCGTTGTTGTGGCAGGTCTCTGGGCACGACGAGGGGCTGGTCATGCTGGCGCCGCAGAGGGTGAATTTTGCCCAGCAAAGGTTGGTAATGGCCAGGTGTGCTGCCAGGAGTTCTCTGCTGGATGTCAGGGGCTGTCGTCTGCCTTGGATTTCTTGCTCCAGGGAACTCCTCCCGGGACTTTGCTGGCGTCTGTAGTGAGGCAGAGCTGGGCGTCGGGGGCGGTTGTCTTCGCTGTTCGGTGTTGTGGCCGTGTTGCTTAGTGGCCACCTTCCATGTTGTTTTGGTTGTCTTCGAGGCTTCCACCTACATCCGTTGAGGCAATGGTAGGCCGCGTTGCCGAACCGCTTGTGGTACGAGCAGATACCGTCAGCGGGAAGGAATCGGATGAAGGGCCTCCGATTCGTGTTGGACCCTCGGGCGGTTGCTGCGTTGATGTCGGTGCTGGCCGACGGGAAAACGGGAGCTGTTGACTGAGGGCGGGCTTGCCGATGAGCTTCCATCAGTGCGTTGGCTCTGGTGAGGAGGACTTCAATGGCCGTCTCGTTCGCGTCGTGGATTTCTCCCCTTCTGCATCTCTGGTGGGGAGCAGGGTTCTCGTCCTGCGCGCAGCCACTTGCTCGCACAACAGTTTTCTAACAGAGTAAACAAAGAAAACAAATAGATATCAACGGGGGGACTGAAGAAAAATTTATATACACAAAATGGTAAAGTAAAAAAAAAAAAAAAAAAAAAAAAAAAATCATACATCAAAATAAGACAATGTATTTTAGAAAACAACTGCATATATATATATATATATATATATATATATATATATATATATATATATATATATACATATACAGTTTACATATACAGTATTTACAATTCAATTTGAAACAAAAAAAAAAAACAAAAAAACTTTTATACAGTTTTTTTTTTTTATAAATCTAACCAATTGTAGATGTGGTTTAAACTTGACACATCCTCCTGCAACTTTTATCATTTCAGAAGATAATATGAGGGATGTGAGAGTAGTTGAAATTTTATTTCTGATCTTTGATTTCAACAAGTTTACCTTCGAGAATAACCTTTCTACAACAACATTAGATGTAGGTAAACTTCCTATTTGTAGAGCAAATTCGGAAATGGTTTCGAACATGCGATGTCCTAGCTCATCCCGAAGGGTACCGATTGCTGTAAAAAAAAAATGTTTCCGGGTTTATAATATTCCTCATTTCTTCCGGAATTAGATTATGGTCTACTGCTCTCCATTCATTATCCAGATGTTGTGGATTAGTAGAGATCCTCGGAAAAGCAGTGACAAGGTCTCTCAGAGATGGCATTGACACGAGATCCTTCATCCAGAAAGTTTTGGGGGACAAAAATGTGGCACATTTGAAATTGCTTGTTTGCAAGAGGGAACCTTTTTTTCCTTTCTTAGCGAGCAATGATGAGAAATTGTTTGCAGGTGCTGAATACATTCTCTAGCAAATCTTGGTTGTGTCTGTATTCCTCTGATTGTATGAGGCAGTGCATGTCTGATCCAAGATACATCTGGTAAAATGGAAGACGATTTGAATCGTTCTCAATATCAATGGATGTTCTATCGCCTGCCTTATTTATTTCATTTCTCTTTATAAAGCACCGCAACAAATCTGCGTAGAGTTCATGGCACTTTTCGTGTAGGACTTTGATGGTTGGTCCTTGCTGTTGGAAGAGTAGGTTGAGCCGGTTGAATTTAGGCTAAATTAAATTAAGAAAAGTATAATAGTTTTGTAGATGGTTCGTTCATTGTGTCCAATATGCTTATTGTTGCGTGGAGTCTTTCCTCTGCACTGATATTAAAGAAATACAGTTTGAGAGGCTCCCACTGTTCCAGCAACCTTTTTACAGCCGCATGGTATGATAACCTCCTTGTCTGGCCCACATGTAGTAATTTGTGAGGTTTTACATCACAAAAATCTTGAAATTCTTTGAATATGTGAATTCTTTTGGCGCTATGGGAGGAATGGTTGCGTATATTCCTCACAAGATCTTCACATTTGCGAGGAAGACATTTGGCGGCTTGGGAGGAGCACAAGTGTACAGAATGACCAATACATTTGAGTATGGTAATTCCACTACATTTGACGTTAGTACTTGCAGTTGGTGTCGATCTCTAGAACTCAAAGAGGAGCATGTTTCCATAGCTAAGTCTCAATAGCTTCTTGAAAATACAAACGGTGTGAAAATAGGCACATATTTTTCATCAAATTATTTTTAGAATAATTGATCCAAACCATAGGAAATAATTATTGTGCAAATATCAACAAAGCCATCTACTATGAAAAAAACGTAAAATACATTTTTGCGAACATTTTGCACGCGTGAGTCCGTGCTGCGGTCCGCAAATCCGCGGGTGTTCCTTCCCGCGCTTCAAATGTTCGCATAGCAGACGAAAATTGTATGCATCGGTAACACTGGTGGGGAGGCTGCATAGGCTGGTAATTTCCTGCCAGACTTGTTCTGGAGTACGATTTCCGAGTGGCAGGTTGGGGATGTTGAAGACTTGTCGCGCCCTCTCAGACGGAGAAAGAGAAAACTCCTTCAGCAGCTCCTGCTTCAGTATGTCGTACTCAGTTTCGTCTGGCTGGGTATCTAACCAGGGGGCGATTCGGGGGAAAATCTTCTCGGGTAAGGCAGCTATGACGTGGTCTGCTTTGGTGGTCGCCTTTTTGATGCTCTTGAGCCTGAACTGGGTTTCGGCTCTTCGAAACCATGTAAGGGCTTCATCCGGTGAAAAGGGTGGAAGGCGGATGGAGGCGGCAATTACTTCAGTGAAGAGGGTGGCTGCGTTTCCATGTCGTTTCCGGGTCACCAATGTGGAGAGGCCTAGGGCGAGGTAATTGAGAGAGCCCTAGGCCCTGAGCAGACAGGAGAATTAGACTCGTTGCAGAGAAGACGATGAAGTGTGTGTATTTTTCGGCGGAAAATGCGGTATATAAACAAACAGGGCAAAGTAACACTGCTGGGTCGTTTGCCGTTGAGTGTGCTGATTGGCCGACGGTGCATCCTTATCTTCCGCGTCGCGGCGCGTCGCGGCACTTGCCTGCCGGCTGACTCGGCGTAAGGGCAATTATGCCGAGCGAGGTGCGCCGGTGCTGAGTGAGGCAATTAACCGCAGGTGCTGAGGTGATTGTGGCGTCCGCCACATGTGTGTGCGTGTGCATATATATAGAAGTTATCCCTGAGTATACACGTTTTCTGTAAATTCTTCGTGTCGATTTTCAACAATTTTGAGGGTAGACGTAAACAAATTTGTTTTTTAGCACACGTTCAAGATATATGTCTATTTGGCCAAAGAAGCTGCGTGTGTCTTGTCTTTACATAATTCATATACGTATATATATTATATATATATATATATATATATATATATATATATATATATATATGAAAAACCGAAATCATTTCGGTTTTTGTCTGAAGATAAACTCGTGAAGAGTTCGAAACGTCACGCTTATTTTCAACTCTCATTGTGGCTAGTTTCCTTTTCATTTCTGTGTACACGTTATTGTGTTTTGTGCTGAGCTGAGACGCTTTTAAAGATTCTCTCAGAACCGCCAATGTCCCTTACATAATTGTAATAAGGCGAATATACACGCCCACCTTTAACGACCAGGACGATCATTGTCGTTCTGCAGATTCACGAGCGAATTGCTATTTATCTGGGACAGCACAGTCTAGGAGGGACTGCTTAGAAACGGTGATGAGTGAAAATTGACTGCAATGTAGTAGTGGTGGTTTGTTAGATTTAATTTTATGTTTGGGGTTTTGTAATCATTTTGCTCACGGAATAGATAATTAGTTATGAAGTAAATAATCTCTAATGGTGATTTGTCTGTTTTTTGTTTCATAAATCAAAATAACCAATTGAATTTAAAATAATAAATGACTATACTTGCTGTTATAGTATAAATCATGGTTCTGTGCAGGATAACATAATAAAACACGGTAGTCACTCTCCAGGTTTTATTTAACCCGTAATATGTGGCTCGTAATGGTCAAAGGTCCTGTGATTGGCGGATATGTTTCAGAGCCTGGTTGTCACGTGGACTTTCTCACAAAACCCTATTCTTCTTCAGAGAGAGAGAGAGAGAGAGAGAGAGAGAGAGAGAGAGAGAGAGAGAGAGAGAGAGAGAGAGAGAGAGAGAGAGAGAGCGAAAGAGAGAACGAGAGGGAGAGAGAGAGTAATGACAATAATAGAGATAATAAGAGTATCTGACGATGATCATGATAATATTACCAATATCAATGAAAATAACACTACCCTACCCACAGGACCAACAGCTGACACGCGAGCCAAGACACCTGTATAGACCTCAGCGTCCCGGGTTCTCCTCGCCCTGTGGCTCTTCCTGATGATAAATGTTGACGTCGATTACCATCATGTTGGAATATGCGTCAACGAAGTCGTCTATTTCGGTGTGCAGGCTCTTTCTCTCCAGAGGGTACCCCATGGGCCACCGATCGGGGTAAGGGGCGCCAGGAATACCGCAAAAAGTGCAAAAACTGGGAGGGTCGTCTTCGCCACCTCCAAAGGCCTACAGTTCAGGGAAAGAAAAATAATGGTGTTGGTTACCTGTTCGTTCCGTGTCGTGTGTGTGTGTGTGTGTGTGTGTGTGTGTGTGTGTGTGTGTGTGTGTGTGTGTGTGTGTGTGTGTGTGTGTGTGTTGTGTGTGTGTGTGTGTGTGTGTGTGTGTTGTGTTGTGTGTGCGCGTGGTGTATGTGTATGTGTGTGTGTGTTGTGTGTTGTGTTCGTGTGTGTATGTACGTGTCTGTGTCTATCTGTGTGTGTCTATCTGTGTGTCTGTGCGCGTGTGTGTATATATATTTTCATAAACCCATATTTGTCTTCACGCTGACACGAAAGAACATTAGCTCACCCTGTCCTGGTCGGCGTCAGTGACCATCACGAAGAGACGGAAGGTCATGCCGTCTGGCTTCCCACGAGGCAGCAGGAGGTGCCGCGGGAAGCTGCAGCCGGAGAAGCTGAAATTGGCTGTGGGGGAGATCGCGTTAGTATGCCTGTTAGTAGTTGGTAGTTAGCCTGTTTGTAGTTAGTATACCTGTTAGTAGTTAGTATGCCTGTTAGTTTGTAGTTAGTATACCTGTTAGTATTAGTATGCCTGTAGTTAGTAGTAGTATACCTGTAGTAGTTAGTATGCCTGTTAGTAGTTAGTATGCCTGTTAGTTAGTAGTTAGTATGCCTGTTAGTAGTTAGTATGCCTGTTAGTAGTATTAGTATGCCTGTTAGTTGCCTGTTAGTAGTTAGTATGCCTGTTAGTATGCCTGTTAGTGGTTAGTATGCTTGTTAGTAGTTAGTATGCCTGTTAGTAGTCAGTTAATATGCCCGTTAGTAGTAGTTAATAGTAGTGTTAGTAGTTAACTAGTAAGCCTGTTAGTAGTTAGTAGTAAGCCTGTTATTTTGATTAGAATGACCGACTTGCTTTCCCATCTAATGATTGAGATTCACTTCAGGCAACTTCGTCATACTAATACGCAATGATAACTACACATACACACAAACTCTCTCATCAGAAGGTCCAAGATGGTAGTCTCGACCATTTACACACACACACACACACACACACACACACACACACACACACACACACACACACACGTATATGTATGTGTATACAGAATGAAAATATATATATATATACACCTCTGCACACACGTCCATTTCTGTCAACGAGCAAACATATTGGGAGTCAATACAATGGACACTTACCATTATTGCCTGTGTAGGCTGATAAGATACTGCTATCGCTGGAACGCCTTGTGATGGTGGATACGCCAGGGTCAACTGGAAAGGAAAATATGGAAATATGGATTGAATGAGAAACTGTTCATTTCTGTTGTTAGATCCACAGTGACTAATTTTGTCGAGGCCTATTTCCTGGAGTGTCTGGCAATGAGCACAACTCTTTGCTGTATATATAGAAGGTTACTGATAACATGGTGGTGTTGGTAGTAATATAACAATGATTATAACTCAGAGGAAGAAGAAATCGACGAGATTTGTTTCGAAGTTATTCTGAATTTCAGTTCCAAGTCTAATGAGTTAAAAGGAAGGGATTTAGAAATTTAATATCAAGTACTTATCATCCGCACTCGCATATCATTGGATGATAAATACTATCTATGCATTACGCTCATCTATTAAAAAGAAAACGAATAAACCTCTCGTTCATAATTCCAACACTTAATTCACAGGCTACGAAACAACAATAACATTATAAAAACAATGATTCATGACTTACTCGGGTCTGCTTCGAACACGTCCATCTCCGACCAGTATTGTAGTAGCGAAGCATAGGTTAGAGGTAGTCCGTTCTCGTCGTATTTCGGAGCCAGGAAAATTCGCACCTTGGGCTTCATAGTACCACTCTTCGTGTTATTGACCTGTACGATATTGTTGGGAAAATTATAAGCTGCTTAAAGGCAATTATAGGGTATACATTTCTGGTCCTAAAGTAAGCTGGTGCTCCTTTTCATGAACGTACACACACACACACACACACACACACACACACACACACACACACACACACACACACACACACACACACACACACACACACACACACACACACACACACACACACACACACACACACACACACACACACACACATACACACAGGCACACGAACACACATACACACAATAAAGGATTAAAGGATATACAACCAACCGTGATGTTGTAGGTGAAGTCCGTATGGTTTAGGAAATCTGACGTATACAGCACAGTAATGTTACTCTCCGGATCTAAATGGAAGTCCATCCCATGTGACGCGACAATAGTGTTCTCTGTGAAAAAAGTATGGAGGTCGTTCAAAGTGCCGTTGTCCTCCTGCACCGCGACTTCCATCACCTCCACATCCACGGACAGCTGTGGAAGAACGAGACAGCTGTTACTATGGATAGCGAATCGGGAAGCATTTGTCAGGTGTTGGGAAAAGCGTTGCTGGGAAGGGTCAGTACTGTAGGATGTGTTACAGGTCATTTTAACGTGTGTTGCAGGTAAGTGTGGTGATTCTAGGGTGTGTTCCAGGTGGGTGTTATATTCTTGGATGTGTTACAGAAGAAATTCATGACAGTAGGATAATATAAATAAAATGTCATGATTCGGGGATATATTACGGGTGTAATATATCTATCTAGGATTGTGGGGGATTGTTCTTGTGTGTGTTTAGTGGCCTTGTGAGTAAAACCCTCTCCTCTGGTGGTGTTTGAAGCAAATAGTTGGATATATTGGTATGTGTGTGTGTGTGTGTGTGTGTGTGTGTGTGTGTGTATGTGTGTGTGTATGTGTGTGTGTCTGTGTGTGTGTTTGTGTATGTGCGTGTGTGTATGTATGTATGTATATGTATAAATATTACACACACATAAATATAAATATGAAAGTCTTCTCAGCTGTGCATATCGCATACATTTGTCTTCCTACCCACCTGGTCTGGCGTGTACGGAGGCTGCGTCATCTTGTACCGAAAGAAAACATCGTCAACGAATTTGTGCCAACGGTAGAAGACCGAATCTCTGGCGGATATTTCCATGGCCGACATCACTCCGACGTTCCCCTGGAAGTCAAGTGAAGGAAGTTATACACCAATATTTTCTTTATTATTGGATTATTTATATTAGATTATTTATTATTTATATTAAATCATTTATCATTTATATTTACATTTACACTATCACTTTTTCCGTCAGTTTTGAATTTCTTTCTGAATTTGAGGCTTTCTGCAAGGATCGTCTACAAACGGAACGCCTCCCGGACCAAGACGGTTACGACCGTTTCCGTCTGACTAATTTCCGTGTTGATCTTGTGCTATTCATAAATCAGTTAGGGTGAGTGAATGTAAACATGAGCTAATATTTTAGAACATTCGTTTATACAATATACATCATCATGTTTCTTTAAAATAACGTAATATGTATGAGAATGTTCGTGTGAGTCCCGGGACCTCACTCCGATAGCGCCATGTTTGTTTACATAGGTCAGTCGATTCATTCGGAAACGCTAAAAACGACGAAAAGGCGATAGTGTGAAAGAGCCCTAATTACCCCGTGTTTCTTAAGAGGGTCGTTAGAACCGCCAAACAACATGTGGCCATTGTTATGGATGTTTCCGTAGTAGGCGGGGTTCACGCTCGCCCCGGCTTCAAGTGCTTCGCCGATGAGGTTGATGCCGTACGGTGTGCCAGGAGCCGGGTCGTCTGTGAGGTAAATTTGAGAGCCGTTTTCCTGTGACGAGAAGGGACGCAGAGGAATGGGTAACCTTCATTTTTAACAAAGGGGAAAATTCGTATACGTTTGTATATGTTCACGCGCATACTCATACGTGTAAGTAAACGTAGGTCTATGTGTGTGTGTGTGTGCGTGTGTGTGTGTGTGTGTGTGTGTGTGTGTGTGTGTGTGTGTGTGTGTCTGTGTGTGTGTGTGTGTGTGTGTGTGCATATATAAACTCGCACTAATACTCACACAAATCAGATATCTTTCATCGATAGAGTAGAGCAGATGGGATCGGTGCAGCTCGAGTTTTGAGATGTATATTGCATCCGAGATATTGATTCCAATAATGTCCTGGAAAAAAAAATGAGTGACAGAATTATAGTAAATTCCTTCCTTTCCCTTTTTCTTATGTTTTTTCTCGCGTCCGAATACCTTGTTTCATATAAATGAATGAATCTCATCGAGCCATCGGGACGATAACGATCTTTTGTAGAATTTCATATATGTATTTTTTTTTTTTTTTTTGAAAAATGCTCAAGCCAATTCATAATCAGATTTGATTGTAAAATGTAGAGCAAACTATTAAAAATCCGTATTAGTTAACCTGTGGATGACATAACGGTCTCTACGGCTTTTTTCAGGAAAGAAAAACTGGCAACTCAGTCCAAACTCTGGAAGAATCTTTTTCTTTTTTTTATCTAGTAATCTGGCACT